GGGGAAAAGGGACGATCGATAGATACCGAGGTGAGGTGTCAACTAATGATTTACTATCCATACGGGGTACGGTGCCAAGCACTGGCGACATCGAGCCGGTCGAAACCCGCTGCAACGTCGGGTCGCACCTGCAGGTGCGTAAATATCCAATGTCCGACGTCTTTGACCAGGAATCGGGTGAGATCTACCATATTTGACCGGGCACCGTCGGCTGCCGTCTAGATCGAGCGAGAGGAGTCCATAGCAATGTTGGTGGCGCAATCGGCCACCATGTTGTAATCTCGGTACAGATGCGCCCCGCTTAGCACGCCGAGGCTATCCGCACATCTCCTAGCTTTTTTTGTACAGCAAACGAAGACCGAGGCTTTCGGCGGTCGTTGGTGCCGCTGCTGAAGATGTAAGAAAGGATCGTGTTCGACAAGTTGTCAAGATTTCTCAGTTTCAAGTGCAATACCATAGGACGGTCTTAACGGACTGGTCAGTTGAGTGTCAACTTGACATGTGGAGCGACGAGGTGACAACTTGGTAGCTGGGACAAGGCGATACGGTTGTAATGTAGGGCAAAAGTATGGGATGAGCAGGTAAGAGCGGACGCCATCTGACTTACATGGCCAAGTTGTGTCGCCATTGAGGTACGTAATGTAGCATTGACGAGAAAAAGTAGTTAACACTAAATATGTGTTACTTATACTCTTCTAACCACCTTTACACAAGTGCAGCAACTCCAAGCATCAAAACTTTACAGACGGATGGTCATGGAACCGTTTCCAATCACATGTAGCAGAGCAATGTTCTAGGACAAGCACGTGCACGCGAATGCGTGATACGACTTGAACGAAAGGTATGTGCAGAGCGTAGTGGCTCAGATCAAACGAGCTGACGTGAGTAACAATTTCGTGCGTGCACGCAACCTGGCATGTAAAGCGAAGCAAACATGCCTAGCTGCTTGCGCATGTTGATATACATTTGAGTGGTTTGTAACGGATAGTAAAGGTAAACAACGCTGCTGAATGGCAAAAGTATCAGCTTGTACGGTAAAATGCTACCCATCTTGCCCAACTCTATTTCGCCACGAAGGCCTGGCCCGCAAACCTGCGGTAAGCATTAGCTATAAAACACACAACCACTTCATTCAAATTCGCGTGCGCTTCCCTCTTGTATGTCAACCGTGTCCTCTATATTCGTCTATGTCACTTGTCAATGTCACTTGTCAACGTCACTTTGTCAGCATCGTCCTCACTTCGTTGTACATCTAAGGTCCAGCCCTAGCGCGTGCTCAGTATCTGCAGCAGGCTACCACCACTCGAGGAACATCACTTACAAGTACAATGTGGCAGCGTTAATGCAAGCCAACCAACAGTCCTGCCACTGGACCTATTCCGTAATGCAGCTGCAGGCAATGGAGCAAACAGCTGTCCGGAAACGCACACACTTTTTCGTTTTTCTTTTCCGTTCGCATGGCAACAACATCGCGCGACACGATCGTGAAAAATTCCTGCTATTGACACTGACAAGTCGTGGCACCGCATCTAAAATCGCCTGCGCCAGCGTCTCGGGCGTAATATCCGCAGTGAACTGCACCATATCAGGCAGCAACACATCAGGCAACCACCCGCGTGCTCACAACAAACAATGCAGTAGCTGCTGCTTCGAGGATGGCAATACAAAACTCTGTCAATGAGCTCTTGGGGAAAATGTGTCCTGGACAGAGCACATGCCGCAACTACGCGGGCAGCACTGCTCCATACAGCGTCACGCGATTATGCAATCGGTACTTCTCTCGCATTTCTTCCAGCAGCAGCAGCAGCTTGGTGCCGTCACCATTAATTAAAAACGCGCTCGCTGGTCCTGAGCACGCACTAACGGGATCGCTCTTGCCACGACGTCGATCTCTTGCGATAAACCAGCCTCACAATAATCACAACAGCATTACACTCGTCCACTCGGCATTGTCGACGCTGTGGTGGCGGTGGTAAACTTGGTCGCGTCCATAGCATTGGTGATTGTCGCGACTTCTCCGTTTAGAATGACGCACGGAGCACCAAATTCTCTCAGCACGTGTGCGACACGCCAATGGCAGCATCGACGTCGACATGGAAACCGTCACGACTTTGTTCGAGTGGACGCTTGCTGCGTCTGCAAAGCCAAAGAGCGAGTGGTCCGTATACACGCATCTGATATTCACATGTAGACTTTTCGCCTGCACGAAGCACTCGAGCATAAACGATGACGTCGCTTGGTGGTTATGGATTATCTGTACGTTTTCTCGCACACAAATGGTCCAAAAAAGCGCCATGTGATTGACAGAAGTCTTGAACATCACATTGTCGACAAGCGCCGTGATTAGTAGAAAATACACTTTCAGGCCGTGGGTCATATTGCGCAGAGCAAATCCAGAAACCAGCAGTAGATTTGTGCAAAAGTCATGACACCAGAATTAGCTCTGAGACGAGCCAACATAAATCATACGTAATGGGGACCACACCAATCGTTTGTGTGATGTGTTGGTAATATTTAATAAATTTTGACGCATAAAATAAAAAAGCCCTGATAGCTAGTCCACTTTGTTTTACACTGCCAGGCAGCATATTCCTGTTGCGTCCCGAGATGCTGCAGGTGGTCGCCCACAGCCTCGGGCTGGACGACGTGAGCAAAGATTGCATTGCTGAGCTGATGCCGGAGGTAGAGCTAGGAGTGCAAAGGTCGTGCAGGACGCGCTCAAGTTCCAGCGGCAATCGCGACGGCCGCAAATGGACCCCACGGACATCAATCAGGCTCTTCAAGTGCGGAATACTGAGGTACTCTATCACTACGATATAGCGCAACTAAGCGGTCATAATAAGGCACGCTATTGACTTACACGATTCGTTCGTTTTCTAAAAATGCTAGAGTTGGTATGGATTCGCAGCCCCTGGTACCGTCAAGTACAAGCCGTTTTGCAAAGACCACAAGTCGCTCTTTAACGCAGTATAGCAAGAGCTGGAGATGTCGGAGCTGGTGAGTGCTCCGCTGGGTCGGATCTCATCGCAACCGGTGAACAATGTACACTGGCTGGCCGTCAATGGCGTGCAACCAACCCCTTATGCCTGAGAACGAGTCCGTGGAGGACGATTCGATGTGCCACACCTTCGTCGAGGACGAAGCGTTTGTCAACAATGTGCTGACCGACGAAATGCAGTTGTACTACGCTTAGGTGACAGATGCCATCAAGGTTGACGATCTCAAGCTGCAACGTGCAGCCTTCTTTGGCCTCGACCAAGACCCGGGCATCCACCTGCTGTTGTCTTACTTTTCACGTTTTATTTACGTGGAAGTGAGTACAGCTAATGAAGAAGGGTATTGTCGAAGAATGAAGCCAGCAGTCTTGTCGTTCAATGCTGACCTTGTTGAAAGACTTGAGGCGCAGAATTGTCTTGGCATCCTTGTGGTAAGCAACTTTTTGTTGTAGCGGTGCTCGTCGCATGATCGAACTAATGCGTACAATTTGACATGATGCAATGCCACAGCACGCTTTGAGAGCTTACTTTTTGATGTCTAGGCGAAGGATCGCGGCGTGTTGCCATCGCTGTCGTCGTCTACTCTAAGGGGTATCGTGACTTTTCTACACGACGCATTGGCGAGAGCCTCTTGCCGTACATTCGGTCAGACCAGGCATCGAGCATGCTCGACATGTGCATCTAGAAGACAAGCGTCGCTTATGTAAAAAATAGATGTTTTGTGCTGGAAACATTTCGAGATGTCTGGGAATGTACTGATGATGATGACGATGATAAAGGCAAACTAATTCGTGGCGATCGATTATCGGTTGTCAATACAGGGTCCCTGGTCGTCAAAATATAGTGCGAAAGCACCAGCTATCTGCGTAGACAAGTCAGAAGGAACCGAGATCGATTGATTTGCGAAACTTCCTTGGTTTGCTGTATTGCCAATCAAAATGTGGCGTACTTGGACACTCTGCTGGATGGTGTTGACAACCACTTTGGACGCCTTTGCAGTACATTGAAACAGACACAAAGTCTCTGGATGAGTCAGATCGGCATTGGGTCGGCAATTAAAGACGTGCACGAGGAAGCCTATAGCCACTACAACCCACTAGTCATATGGTTCGAAAACAGCTCGCAGGGAATAGTCAGGCTGGTGACACTTGACATGTCGTAAGAGCTTACAAATGGCTGCGCTTTGGCAGTCTAAAAAAGCATTCTTCCGCAGCAGAAACTTTGCAGTTGGTGCACTCAACACGCTGTGAGAGCTTCGCTAAACATGGCTAGTAATTGATGTTCGGACATCGAAAAAAACGTCGTAGACTAAGTTGATATCCACACTCTCAATACAGGAACAAGTTCAGTGCAAGTAGATTGAACTTTGCCAACACACCAAACATTCAAATCGTGTGATCCCCATTTTATGTTCCGTGTGGGCTCGTCTCAAAACTGGTGCCGGTTTCTGGACTTTTGCACAAAACTACTACATGTTTCTGGATATGTTCCCGTTACAATAGCAGAAAAGGGTACGTAGTCTACAATTTCAATGCATGATAAGTACGATGCACCAAACGTGTACCCATCGTACGATTCGTCGGAGGGTCGGAATTTCAGGCCAACCCGTGATGTTGTAAAGTCACTAATAAGCAAACATGCATCCCAAACTGACGAAGCCAAGCGCCCACCATCGCACTTCGTCCATCATCTGGGACATGGTGAAGTTAACAATGAGAAAGAGCACGGTGACGTTCACCAATAAGCGCCCCACACTGGGAACACCGCCGCGTTCACAATAGCGCCGAGAGAACCGGCGAGCAGGAACTTCCATTCAGGCGCTGACATCTTCCAGATTCTCGCGCCATCGAGACCGGGGGGGAGTGATCGATGTCATCGATCTAGTCTCCATCCACCGTGTCCACGACATCTTCCTCCCCGGATTCACTCAGTCGGCTTGCCGACCAACGTGATGATCGACTAGAGCAAAGATATGGATGATCAGGTGATTCTTGTTTACTATAGTCACTTCTTCAACAGCGATTTCTCGTCCTCTTCGCTCGAAACGCGATCCTGAGCTTGAGCTAGGATACGGTCGTGCCCGTTGTCCAGTTTCATTAACTCCTCGCGCAAACCGATCTCTACGATCGCATCACCGCTATGGACTGCAATACGGTTGGCGTAGCGGATCGTGGACAAGTGGTGTACAACGAGAATTGTTGTTAGGTCCGTGTTTGCTTGTTGGCGGTCGAGCGATGCTTGGACAATTCGTTCACTCTCTGTGTCAAGCACGCTGGTAGCTTCGCCCAGCAGCAAGATCGGAGATTTCTTGATAATTGCACGAGCAATGGCAATCCGCTGTGTCTGTCCACCCATAGTTGAGTGCCGCGCTTACCTACTTCGGTCTAGTATCCTTGGGGAAAGTTTCTGGTAAAACTGTACGCATTCGCCATATTTGCTGTCTCAATCACCTGCTTGTCTGTGGCTGACGTACACCCGTAGGGAATACTCTCCATAACGAATGTCGCAAAGAGCGACGACTCTTGACCTGCTAATCCAATCTGTGAATGCGACCACTTCACGTTCAGCATTCGCTTGTCGGCACCATCTACGGTCACAATGCCGCCCATCGGGTCGCAGAAACGCTCAAGCTGCGATACAATCGTGCTCTTGCTGCTGCCACTGGGTCCGACAACGGCCACCGTCTCACCTGGCATGATTGTCAACGAGTAGTTGCTGCAGACTTGTGCATTCGCGCGCGACGGGCAAGCAAAGGATACCCTATCAATCTCGATGCGACCATCACCTTGTCCAGCTTACCACCGCCGTCACTGATCAGATCAATCAGCGACGCACGCGTGATCTTTCGAAACACGGGTAACGTAGCAGCGCGTACCTACGTGAACACCTCGGCGCTTGGAGCAGTCTGTCCGAGCGCCATGGCGCCAATGATGATCGCAAAAAAAAACCGTGAGCACTTGTCTGACGTCGTAGCAGCCCAACTCCGTACATTGTTGCCATCAAGATAATCGTTGGCGACCATAAGACCGCCAAAGTACATTCCACCTGTATACGTGCAAACGACCGTGTCATACATGAGTCCAGTGCCCCATCCAACCGCAAGTCTCTTCGTTATGCCGCCAGTCGTCGACACGCCCAATGCGTCGTCGTACTTGGCAATAAGGTGTTCAATCAAGTTGGCCACGTGCACTGTAAGCACATTATTCAGCGCTTTCTGCGCCACAGCACCAGCTTTGCTATACGACGTGAGTCCGGCTTGTGTCACCGTCGATAGAACTTATTGCTAAGAACGCTGTAACGGCAATGAGCGGTGTAACGCAAGCAAGATCAGCGCAAGTTGCCAGCCTATCTCAAATCCAAGGACGATGCCGGACGCCGCAGCGTACATGGTAACGCGGTTTTCATGGTTATGAAGCCATAGTCGCCCTTCGATATTGACAAGGGCGACTTAAGGTGTAAAAGCTTAGAAGAAGGTAAAATGGAAAGTGATCATTATTTAGCTAGGTCCTTAGTTCGTCTGTTGTACTACTCTAAGCCTATCAATGTCGATTCTACGATATCATTCACGAAACGATGAGTCGATCCCATCGGTACACACAAGCACGCAGTGTCGTCCTTCCTTTGTGGTCAATAGTACCAGTAACCAACAACATAATTAATACATGCATGGGCGGATGGCCGGCCGACGAGGTGAAGGTGTTTGTCCCGCAAACCACCACTTGCCACCGCTAATCTTCCTCTTCACTGGTTCTTTCACCGTCTTCCGTAAGGCACTTTTCGGGTGTACAGGACGAGAGATCATATGATGCGCTATTGGGCCTTTGACGCTTTTGAGAATGCAGGTGGCCATCGATCGCACTTCGAGTGGTGCGAATTTCAGATACCTCTTCTGTCAGTTTTGACATCGCTATTTGGCTAAAACTGACCGGTTCTCTGTACTGGCTCTTAATCCATAACTTCGGGCCATCCGAACCATACGCCTTCCGCACACGCTCCCAAAGATTCGCCATCGGTGAAAGGTCTTTTCTGACACAAGATCGCACATCTCTTATACACGATGCCGAGTATACCTCTTGTGTGACAGTTCTTCCACTACATCGTAATTTAGCAGCAGCAGAACTCGTGCTTCCACCTTTACTGCTTGTGGTAGAACCGTCTTCCTCTCCATTTTCCACTTCCCCAGCAATCACAGTCTCTCTCCTACCGCCAGCCTTGATTATTTTCATGTTGCTTCTCGTTGTCACCACAATCACGTTCTTTGTCCTCAAATCTTCTGACAAAGTCGTTCTCTTCTTCTTTAACGCTTTCGCGCCGATCTGCGCTTTAACAGCAAGTGCTAGACTCGCTTCATCTTGTTCCACACCTTTCGAGCCAGCCTTAAGCCATTTTCGATACTTCCTTTCCAGTGCATGACCGCCTCGACTACGTCGGTCGTGAGGGATGGCATAGCCGCGACAATACTCGTCTGCTACGAGGTCCCAGTCTTGTCTTGACACGGGCAAAATCCTTTGTATGGTTTGTAATAGAGCTTGAGAATCTGCAGCTGAGTACCCTTGAGCACCTTGAGGTCTACCTCCTCGACGCTGAAGACACTTCGTGTCCACCATTTTCGACTGAATCAGCTTTAGAACTGCTTTGGCTTCCGCCATGTCGCAGCGGGTACTTTCTCCACATTGAGTATAACGTGCCAAGTTCATAAACTTGGCTTTGAGTGTGCACGAGTCACGTCGTGCACGAGCGTTTGGGGTCGCGTGCGTGCGATGGTATTCTTCCAGCACAAGGTTCCACTCTTCTGCGGTGGTGGGCAGATATTTCTTTACACATGCCAAAAGTGACCGAACATCATCGGAGCGATACCCTTCGGCCCCACGCACGCGCCCACCGCGACGATGGAAAGTTAGCTCGTCACTCATTGTAAATGCAAACTGTGGCTTCAAGCGCAAACTAATTTGAAGAGTGAAGGTGCAGTAACAAGTGCTGTCACTTCTTATTCGGGCAGCCTGTCGCACATTGAGTGATATACAGTAGTCGGGTGGGCTGGAAGGAGCATATCCAGAAACCCGCAGTAGTTTTGTGCAAAAGTCCAGAAACCGGCACCAGTTTTGAGACGAGCCCACACGGAACATAAAATGGGGATCACACGATTTGAATGTTTGGTGTGTTGGCAAAGTTCAATCTACTTGCACTGAACTTGTTCCTGTATTGAGAGTGTGGATATCAACTTAGTCTACGACGTTTTTTTCAATGTCCGAACATCAATTACTAGCCATGTTTAGCGAAGCTCTCACAGCGTGTTGAGTGCACCAACTGCAAAGTTTCTGCTGCGGAAGAATGCTTTTTTAGACTGCCAAAGCGCAGCCATTTGTAAGCTCTTACGACATGTCAAGTGTCACCAGCCTGACTATTCCCTGCGAGCTGTTTTCGAACCATATGACTAGTGGGTTGTAGTGGCTATAGGCTTCCTCGTGCACGTCTTTAATTGCCGACCCAATGCCGATCTGACTCATCCAGAGACTTTGTGTCTGTTTCAATGTACTGCAAAGGCGTCCAAAGTGGTTGTCAACACCATCCAGCAGAGTGTCCAAGTACGCCACATTTTGATTGGCAATACAGCAAACCAAGGAAGTTTCGCAAATCAATCGATCTCGGTTCCTTCTGACTTGTCTACGCAGATAGCTGGTGCTTTCGCACTATATTTTGACGACCAGGGACCCTGTATTGACAACCGATAATCGATCGCCACGAATTAGTTTGCCTTTATCATCGTCATCATCATCAGTACATTCCCAGACATCTCGAAATGTTTCCAGCACAAAACATCTATTTTTTACATAAGCGACGCTTGTCTTCTAGATGCACATGTCGAGCATGCTCGATGCCTGGTCTGACCGAATGTACGGCAAGAGGCTCTCGCCAATGCGTCGTGTAGAAAAGTCACGATACCACTTAGAGTAGACGACGACAGCGATGGCAACACGCCGCGATCCTTCGCCTAGACATCAAAAAGTAAGCTCTCAAAGCGTGCTGTGGCATTGCATCATGTCAAATTGTACGCATTAGTTCGATCATGCGACGAGCACCGCTACAACAAAAAGTTGCTTACCACAAGGATGCCAAGACAATTCTGCGCCTCAAGTCTTTCAACAAGGTCAGCATTGAACGACAAGACTGCTGGCTTCATTCTTCGACAATACCCTTCTTCATTAGCTGTACTCACTTCCACGTAAATAAAACGTGAAAAGTAAGACAACAGCAGGTGGATGCCCGGGTCTTGGTCGAGGCCAAAGAAGGCTGCACGTTGCAGCTTGAGATCGTCAACCTTGATGGCATCTGTCACCTAACCGTAGTACAACTGCATTTCGTCGGTCAGCACATTGTTGACAAACGCTTCGTCCTCGACGAAGGTGTGGCACGTCGAATCGTCCTCCACGGACTCGTTCTCAGGCATAAGGGGTTGGTTGCACGCCATTGACGGCCAGCCAGTGTACATTGTTCACCGGTTGCGATGAGATCCGACCCAGCGGAGCACTCACCAGCTCCGACATCTCCAGCTCTTGCTATACTGCGTTAAAGAGCGACTTGTGGTCTTTGCAAAACGGCTTGTACTTGACGGTACCAGGGGCTGCGAATCCATACCAACTCTAGCATTTTTAGAAAACGAACGAATCGTGTAAGTCAATAGCGTGCCTTATTATGACCGCTTAGTTGCGCTATATCGTAGTGATAGAGTACCTCAGTATTCCGCACTTGAAGAGCCTGATTGATGTCCGTGGGGTCCATTTGCGGCCGTCGCGATTGCCGCTGGAACTTGAGCGCGTCCTGCACGACCTTTGCACTCCTAGCTCTACCTCCGGCATCAGCTCAGCAATGCAATCTTTGCTCACGTCGTCCAGCCCGAGGCTGTGGGCGACCACCTGCAGCATCTCGGGACGCAACAGGAATATGCTGCCTGGCAGTGTAAAACAAAGTGGACTAGCTATCAGGGCTCTTTTATTTTATGCGTCAAAATTTATTAAATATTACCAACACATCACACAAACGATTGGTGTGGTCCCCATTACGTATGATTTATGTTGGCTCGTCTCAGAGCTAATTCTGGTGTCATGACTTTTGCACAAATCTACTGCTGGTTTCTGGATATGCTCGTCAATGTATGTCTCGACACACCCTCTCTTCGTTTGTCAATTTTTGTATTATTTTGATATATCGTATTTTTTTGTAACACCCTATGTCGTGGCTAGTGGAAAAGCATCGTCGGCCAAAAATTGCACCACTTCATTTTGCACTTTCGTCAGGTAACGTGCGCAAAGCGAAACGGCAAGAGGAAACGACCGCAAGAAAGCGCACACGCAGAGACAGATGTTTATGTCCAGAGGATCTGCCGACCTGGAGCAACTGGCGGAGCAGGTAGATTTGCTCGTGCTCTCTCTGCTTACTATCTGTTCATCTGGTAAGTCGTTCTTAATGCCTTTTTATCGCGATCGTTTTTGTGGACAGATCCAAACCACGCAGAAGCTGATCCGGAATCCAGAAACAGACTGGACGGAGCGCTCGCTTGTAATCACAAAGCTCGCAGAGGCCATCGAAGCACTGGGCAAGGAGGCAGGAGGATACTCGGACGCGGTGCAGCTGTTGCTGGGGCTCTCGGTACGGCTCGAATGGCATAATTGTGCTGAGGCTTTTAAGCGTTTTTGTGTCTATTCATAACGTAAAGCTATGACCATCAATGTTGTATTTTTTTGCACTCTTTCTTAGAGTGAACTAGGGGCCCTACTTGAGGCAAGTGGACAAAGGTTGATCATGGACGTCTGTGAGAACCTGCGACGGATCGTTGAGGTCATGGGAAGAGACTTTGGGGCAATGGCGAACGCGCTGTTGCCCCAAATTATCAACCTGAGCCGAAACACGTTACCGGCCACCCGTCAACTGGGAGCTGAGCTTTTGCAGAAATTGTCGGAACTGGTTCGGTACGACTTGACGCTGCTGAAAACTATATTTATGCGATCGAACCAAGGTGCGGTTGTTTCAAGCTTTTAGTTTTGTCGTTTGAGTGTCGCGTGTATACGTGACTGATACTGCTGGCGGTCTCTGTTGTACACGTTGTAGACCGACCTCGTGTGCTGATCTTAAAGCAGTTGCAAAAAATTCTTGTGTACTGGTCGGAAGATGAAGTGCTGCCGTGGAAGGAGGACGTACTCGAGACCGTACAACACGGACTATCAGATCAGCACGAGAACGTGCGAGAGGTAGCACGCGAAACTCTCGTACAATTATCGTCGAGATGGTATGGTTATTGCGATGAGGATGTGACAAATACAGCTTGTAACTGATTCACTGTATTGTATATGATGGGATGGGAATGTTGTAGGAGCGATCAAGTGGACGTAGTAGTGGAGACGCTGTCGAAGCAGACTAAAATGTTGCTGCTTCGTAGGCATCAAGGCACTCCATTGGCTACGGCTATCGAGAGAAAACACCCGGACCTAGCAGCTATACCTGTTACGCACTCGAGGAAAAGAGCTTTGTTGCGCTCAGGCGCTCGAAAATTTTCTTCGAACAAGCGTCACAAAGAGACATAGTTGCATGCGCAACCCACGTCAAGAAGCATTTCGCCAAATCACCGCGAACAGTAAGAACTTTCAGAGCAAGATACGATAAGTAGTGAGGTGGCCATGAGTCCAACCGCTGCGGCGTCGGAGACGACGGAAGGCAATACAATTTTTTTGAGTTAAATCACAGTGTTTTCTTGGTTCTCTATTGATAATGCAACGCACCGACCAAAACCTTGACGTTATTGATGGAGAGGACAGTGGCAATTTGGCAGAAGCTAGCGGTCGTGTAGGCTCGGTTGGCAAGTTAAATTGATCTCCGTGGACCACATTCGGTCCCCAAATCGCCGTGATGACGATTTGGCAGATGAAAAAGACGAAGACTATATGGCTACAGAAAGTGGTCTGTACAAATGGCAGCGTGATAATAAATACGTACACGCGCTCGGTACCGATTGGGAATATCGTCCATTGGATTGTATTCGATCCTGATGTGGTAGGGCTGGCATTGTTATTGACCACCAGCATGACGACTAATTGAAGTCAAGTGAGCATGGTATCGTGCCACGCATTGATGACTTCAAATGTTCGAGTCCAGGAATAGCAACAAGAAATGAAAGCAGACCTCGCGGCATTTCGTCAGGTACTTGCCGTTGACTTGATTGAGGCCTCCTTTGCACCTTTTCACGTAAACAACACTATGGAAACTGAGCAGTAAGTTGGCTACGAGCGAGCAGTAAAATGAATGCAGCGAACCGCCGGAAGCTTCTGCCATTATCAAGGACAGCAACCTCCATCCGTTGCCCACCACCAGTCTATTGGATCGCACAGTACGAAAGCAATCACAGTACGCTCAAATCTAATTCTTTTACCCCTGGTCTTGAAGGTCATAGCTACCGTCTTCGTTTTGTGCGTTCTTGTTGACTGCAACATCCAGGGCGAGATTGGCTTTCTTCTGTGCATCAAGCGCTGCGTGCCTCACTTTTCCAAGTGCGTTGCCCCCATTTCGAGCGTTTTCAGGGATGGATGCGAGTGCAGCCCCTCGAAGGGCGTGGCAATTTGTCCCTCATGCATCTAGTTAGCACCATAACTTGACGTTTCGATGACAGGGTCGGCCTGCAGCACAGGCAGGAATTTGTCTAAACCTCACCGAGCTTATTGAACAGGTGCAGCGGCGTGATTGACTGTCCCTTTAGCAGTGGCGTCATGCCAGTGCTAGTGAGCCCGTTGTTGCCCATATCGAGGTACGCCAGCGTCGTGTTGCCTGCTGCCAACACCTCTGCAAGAACCACGGCACCTTCATCGCGGCACTTGTTGTTACTGAGGTACAGGATCCTGAGCACTTTGTTCGCAAGAAGTCCGCGAGCCGTCTCAGCACAGGCATGTTGCGTCCACACATTATTGGACTGATCGATCTCTATCAACGTTGCGCTTCGCATCAAAGCAGACGCGAGAGTAGTCGCATGTTGAGCCTTCATCTTGCACTCTTTCAGCTGCAGCTTCTTCACCGACGTGTTGGTTGCCAACGCATCGAAACCGCAGACGTCGCGCCTCCAAAGGGGTTGAACGACAGCTGCAACGTCGTCAACGAGCACGTTTTGAACGCGATAGACGCTGCCGAATGGTCGATTTTAGTTTCTGATATGCCAACGTCCGTCAAGCTGAGCTCTACCACTCGCGTGTGAGCATTAGAAAGCAGTTCTCGTGCCACTTTTTCGAGTCCGTGGACCCCTATTGGATTGCGTAACAACGTTAGTGTCGTCAACGTCTCGTTCGTCGTCAGGAGCTCGGCAATGGCTGGCGCTACGTCGCTATAAAGCGACTTAAGCTCCAAGTCTCACACCTCAAGAGCTGACCGAGTGTTCCGCGCCAATCCGGCACACACCACAGCTCACAGCATCATTCCATGCTTCTCCGAGCTCCGTTTCGTGCTTCCGTATCGATCTTGGCGATGTGAACGACATCGTTTATATCATCCTCTACCTTCCCTTTTAAGTCAGAACCGTCCCACGAAGAAGAGCTAGATGTAGTGACCATTGGACAAAAGCTATGACCCCCAACCTTGTATGCGACATCGCTCGGTTCAACAGCATCGAGATCGTCGGTAGCTAACCGACCGTCATCGCAACTCATACGTTCTCCGCGGCGAGAGCGGATAAGCAGCAGGTCCAGCTTTCGCAACAGGGAGTGATCAACGGCCTTGTCTATAGTAGTGGCTAGCAGCAGCACAGCATTCCAGCAGTAGTCAAAAGGCACTCATCACTAGAATAGAGCAGTTACGAGAAAGATTGGCGGTAGCAAGTGGTGGTTTGCGGGATAAACGCCTTCACCTCGTCGTCCCGCCATCCGCCCATGGAAAAACGCGTTTTAATGTAGCACAGCGACGAATCGCACGCGCTTGCCAAATGAGAACGGAAGACATGCGTCGAACGTGCCTCCTTATCCTATCCAAAAGAAGGTATCATAGACAGTGGTCGCAGCGACTTTTCAGCTATCAAAGTGTCATCACCGTCAACTTCACCGTCATCAAAAGCTCCATCATCGCCATCATCGACTCTATCGTCGTCGACTCCACTGCCAGCGCCTTCACCGCCACCATCATGATCATCAGCACCTTCTTTGACCGCACAACTTCGTCATCACCATCGCCTTCACAATAATCGACATCATTATTCATGCTCACCCTGTTTAGGCCATGAGAGCTGCCCTGCTGCTCAGTCGAGGAAGCCTCAGTGCCAATCGTGAGTACTCATCCTGTTCGTCTGCACCACATGACAGCATCATGTGCACAATTGCATTGGCAATAGGCGTGTGCTCTAAGATGCCAGCCCGTCGACTGAGCGAGTAGCGCGCTAAACGTCATGTTGATTTCGACTTCCCGTTTCCTTGTCACTTGTCGCTTCTTTTATTTCCTTTGCGTTGAGTCCACAAGTGAACACGTGTCTGCAAATGATCGTGACCTCAATTGACCAGTCGATTTCTGGTTTGTCGTTGAATCTCCTTGGCACTTGCTAATTCGCTCGATTGTCTTGTGGAGTTCGTCGGCTATGAATCTCCTACCCCCTTGGGCCGCATAACGGTGCTATGGCAAAGTCGGCTAGGATCCCGCCAAAGCTGCTCGACAAATTGATGCGTCACGTACTTGGCCTCAGTTATTTCAATCATGACGTGGCGTATGGATGCATCGGCGTCAGATTGATAGCTGATAGTAAGTAAACATCTGTATCCGATTGTCAGCTGAAGTCATTGTGAGTCCAACTCCAGATAAAAGTACGCGTGATCGTTGATGCTTAATATTTATGTCGAATTTTGGTCATTGTTTGTGTAGTGATGATGTTCCCCTACAAGTCAGAAGAAATAAAAGTTTGCGTGACGCCATTTCGATTGCATACGCCTGTATTGATCCCCTAGAACTGCGACTGGTTGGATCGTGTTCGAAACAAAGGATTGATGGGCTTGGTACCGAAAGAAGTTCTCGCTCGCAGTACAATTTTCTTCATTATCATCACACATTCTGTCATAGAAAGAGCTATTATATTCCATGCATACGTATATCCGCACGATCACAAATTAGTACTCTATTGAACGCAGTTCGTTTAAGATACCAGAAACGGTCGAGCTGTCGACACGGATACACCTTTCTCATCTTTTTTGGACATATTTCGATACTATGTAAACCAAGGCAAAGTCAAAATCTAATGTTGCCGTTGATCACGATGTGTTGCAGCTGTCATCCTGACAGTAAATATATATTGCGCATTCGATAACCGCGAAATTGCATAAGACCCCAATTATATCTTATGATAATTCAACTAGAATAAAAAAAGTAAATTAGCTATTTCTCAATCTCGACACGTAAATATTTTAAACTACACTTGATTCGATCAATGATTGCGACGGTTTTTATTCGCACATCGTTCACTTTGATGCGTTTTGGCATCCTACGGATTTCAGATGAGAATTTAGCATCTATTCACCACCTTCAATTACATAATGATGCTCGACGACAAGAAAGCTTTGTTGCACTATAATTGAGTTCTACAACGCGGCATACATCATAACACGAGCAAGCTACCTCATATCGAAGAGGTAGCGTGGTCATTATCCTTTTAATTCTGTGCAGCTGATTGCTGAGGCCGCTGGTTGCACAACTTTCGATGCGACATAGACCCGCGCTGCACATACCACCTATTTGTCATTTCAGGGCACGTTTATACGGAAGCTAGCCTAAACTATGTAGTACCACCACGCAACTGCAACGTATAACAATCATTGACGCACCCGATATAAAGACGGCATCAGATAAACATAAACTTCGAGGATCGACAAAGTTAAATGATTGGTATCTATCCGAACCCAAGTAATCGTTTATGGGTGAATGTTTGCAAGTGTACGTCTGTCTGTAAGTTTCTGTATCAAGGATGTCGCTAATTATATCGAATTCCTATTTTGTGTATTAAACACACACACTAAGTACGTACTGCAACGCAATCGTAGCCGGTAAGTCTTTACAGCATATTAATGATCACGAGAAATAATACCAACCTCGTTAAAAGCTCTGACGTTATTTATGCTCTTGTAGAATTTTTACCTGGTATCAATATCTTATGGGGTCGTATCTTTATCATCGTTTACAACCTTGTTTACGCGACATATTGACATGGGGCAGACTTTTCTTGTTGAATTTTGGAAAAACATCGTAGCTAAGACATCAGCTGCAATACTTTTCCTATTCTAAACGAGTAAGACGTAGTAGAAGAATTCCTATACAAAAAAGGCCTTTCCACACTAGCAATAAGTATGGCCCCAGGGCTACGCTGAAGCGTCAACGCATACATACGGCAGGCGACGGAAATTTTAAACGATATTATATTACATTTGTGCGGGAGGAAATGAGAATACTTGCGTTGATTCATACAAATTTTTACTGGTCGCGTATAATTGGTTCTACAGCAGAATCGGTGATATTCAGGTATTAGCCACGTGGTGGATACTTCGTATTATCCATTTTTGTGGCGCCCTTATTTATT